ATGTACAAATTTTGTAGAGGTCATTTTCCGATATCTTAAATATTAAAAAAAATCACCCGTAGCCGGTTTATCAAGTAATTGACCTTAAATCGACCTTCTCAAGGTCATGAAAAAAATTTTGAAATACCGTTTTAGACGTAAAATTTTCCGCTCTTTCCGAATCCGGTGTCAAAAATAGGGGTTGCCATTTAAATAAATGAATTTAACCTTGAAAACACCTTAAAAATGGCTTTGAAGGTCACGAAAAGGTCACCATGAAATCTCCGGGTAATCTTCATCCGAAAGTTAAAATGGGACACCCTGTATATAAACATAGTCTTCGGAATAACGCCTGATAAAATAAAATAAAAAAATTGAAAGTGGTTGAACAATAATGAAAAATGGAAAATTTTGTTAAACTGTTTAAGAGCTTAATAATTCAAAAAAAAAAATTTTTTTTTTAATATTTAATTATTCAAAAAAGAAACCTTTGGCGAGAACATTTCAATGGTTTTTTCAAAAGATATTTTCGACAGATATTTGAGATGATTTGCATGTTGGAGTAAAAAATGAATTTATCCGTCTAAAATTATTGACCGGTACTGTACCTAAGTGCAAATCTCTAATCTTTCTCTAATTTTTTCAATTCCTCAGTATCGACAAATAATAAACACGTATTCTTTTATTTCAGCGGAGTTTCATTTTTAAGCTTGCATATGATTATTTAATGTTTACACTCGTATAGCATACTACATGCACGTAATCTAGAATCTGTTTGCAATGAAAGAATCGGCTCTGTTGACCAATTTCCCATTTAACGCTCGCCCGTCGCTATGAAGTGTGTGTGTGTGCTCATTCAGTTGCGCACTCATATTTAATTTAATCTTTCATTTTTGTTTGAGGTGTGGCGGCCATTTGCTGAGCGACCGGAAGAAAGAATCGCGCTAGTTTTGCTAACTTTCCAAGCCCACAAGGGAGAAATCAGGATAAAGAAAGAAAGAGAGAGAGAGAGAGAGAGAGAGAGAGAGAGAGGGAGAGAGAGAGGGAGGAAGAGAACTAAAAAAGGGAAGAGGGTATGTATCGACGAAACGATTGCCGGCAGTAATCGACTGGCTTTACTGTCATCGCCAACAGAAATGAGTCGCATCTCCAACGCACGAAAAGGTCACCGATCGTGCAACAGCAAACATCAGCGAGTCAACACGCGATCACCGCCAGTAACTTTACGTGCGTCGTTGCCGGCTCACAAATAGCAGTGTCCAAGAACAGCCCCGTCGACGGTTAGTGCTCTCTCTCTTTCTTTCTCTCTCTCCCAGTCTTTTGTGCGCATGCTAGCAACTACCCCAGTGTGTGAGAAAGCTGAGAACCGTTGCCACAGACACGCAACATCGGGCCCGAAGAATGCGCGTGAGTGCGAGTCTTTGCAGCGGAGTAGTATTGCACGCTGCTCGACTCGTAAAGGAGTTGCGTAGACTTGAGAACGAAGTGCCGGTTCAGAACTATTCGATTGTGAATTCAAAACCGTGAGTCGTAGTAATATAAAAATTAAATACATTAACTCATTAAGGTTTATGCCAAAACTGGAAGAGATAGCATCAAACTAATTATGCCATTTAAAGGCAATTTAAAACAAAATTATCTTGTAACAGTCCAGCCTGATATGCCTTTTCTCCCACTGCAAAATAGCAACCCGTAGTGCACGATAAAACTAAAGAAAAGCGGTACTAGAGCGAAGGCGCTCTTCTCATATACATATAAATGTGTTAGATCAATTCGGCGAAAACAAGACCATATAAGGAGCCTGACGTCACGAGAGTGGGAAAATTATTGTTTACAATGCAAAATCGACAATTGCAAAGTTTTTTCAAATGAACAAAAGCATTTTTTAGTCAATTTTGATGCGCTGATCTCGAATCTCAAGTTATTATAGTCATTAAATATGTATTTGTTAATTTAATTTACTTTACAAGTAAATAGTGTCAGTAAGTTTGCAAAAAATAAGTATATTGTAAATTCGAATATACAACTGTTATCGTAGCGTATTAAGACAGAGAAGCTAGAATTTGACACTTTGATAACTGATTTTTGACTGAGTTATCAATAAATAAAAAATTTTTATTTATTATAGAAACGATTTATATTAAAAAATTTGTTATTCCATCCTTGATTTTTTAAATCATTAAATTTCAATTTCGATCGAGCCATTTTGCGACAAAACCTGTACAAAGTTTATGCTAATATCAAAAATAGCGTTGTAGGGGCTACCAAGCGTAGAAAGGAGCCAATTTCACAAGTATAAATACGCTCGTCGCTGCGGCAAGAGGATTCACTATCCTACCTTGCTTAGCAGTGCGAGCATTGAATCGACATAAAGACTCAGTTATTTCCTGAGACTGATTTCATTATTCAATGGTTAGCCTGCTAATTTCTTTCCTTACGATAATCTAAGCCCTCAACTCATAAGACTCTCTCTCTCTTACGAGAAAAAGTAGCCTTAGAATATCTCCTCTCTAAAACTATTAATTGCCTAGAAATAAAATCGAATATTCGTTGCGGCACTGTCGGGCTTTTCCTCGATAGATACAACAATACTCAATTGTGTTTTAAACGGCTCATCGAAACAGCGAATATTGTGTTTGCTATTCGGTGATTATTGAAATTTCAGTTCTTATAGAGTATTTAGATGGCAACTTCTTGTTGACTCTCGGAAACACGATTACAAATAAAACAATAAGAGTCCGAACTATTTACTTCACTAACGTGAGATTGAATCAAACGTTACAATCCGTTTTTTGTTTTGCTATTTACAATTGATTATAGAAAGTTATTTAAATAAATTACCTAAAAAGTTATTGTTTTTCAAATCTGCTTGCGACGATCGCTTGTACAAGGAAAAGTATGCAAAAAATTTATATAACATTTTTTTGTTAGACTTCAATTTGGCATAAAAATTATCTATCAAACATTGATCATTTAATTCGATTGAATTTTAATTCAGTATTATTTAGGTGTACTTATAGGTATATCTTGCATAAAGGAACAGAACATTTCTAGCCGTAAAATGCTGTCTTCATCTTACACGATGATATGTTATATATTTTTTCCATATCTTGTTTTATTTCGTGTTTATATGATAAAAAATGACTTAAGTTCCTTCACTTGTTAAGATGTTTACTCGTAAACTTTTAAAGTTATCTTCAATATGGTTTACAAATTTTTCCAATGAAAAATAAATTTTTCCAACTTAAGCACGCAACCATTAAATGCGTCACTTACAATTAGGTGACCGTCGGTATCAAAGTTTTAATGTTTGACAGCTATAAATTAAAGTCTAACAAAAAAATTATAACGAGTCGCATTCTCGTTATGTCTCTCTCTCCCTGCAGCCAGTTTGTTTATTAATCATATTTATACTTTACCATGCATTATAATAATTTGCAATTTGTAGCGCAGTTGAAATGTCAGCGAACAAGGTAAGAGTCGAGTCCTACGATCTATACTATCGATAGTCCCTAGCGCGGATGTCGCGGAGAGACCACGATCGCGAAGGGGAGAGAGAGGGAGAGCGCGCAATTAGTCAGTTGGCATGCGAGCAGAGACAAGTACGGACGCTAGCATAGTTTGACAGTAACATCTTTTCTTTTGCGTTATGAGAGATCTCGAAGAAGTAAGCGAGTACGCAGTGGCGATTATACGAGTCCAAAGATCGCCAGCGATAAGCGAAGGCGCATAGCTGATGTTGACAGGAATTCCGTCAGCTATAAGGCTAGGAAGCGAGAATGCCCGCGTGAGTGTAGGACAGGAGTAAGCGTGGTCGCGATCTACTGCTCGTGCGTTGCTGCCGTTCTAATAACCGACGAGAACTACTGTAAGTACCTACTCGGTTCTCTCTCTCTCTCTCTTAGACTCTCTCTCTCTCCTATCGCTTGCTAACTGCATTTGTCACTTTAGTCTTTCGCCCGACTTACGCACTCTGTCATTTTGCTCGGCATTGCGTCTTGCCTCGAGCCGCTTTAAGCGAATTCGTTGTCCGATCTTGTTCGGTTGCTGACAAAATCGGCGCGCTGCGTTGCATCGTGCCTTGTTCGCTGCCGCTCACATTTCGCCACCACGCGCGCTTGTATCTATTCGTAAGTGCCTGAAATACACGATTCGTTTCTACCAAAATCCGCAGCAACTTATTCCGATACACCTGCCCTATTGTATAACTACTTCGCCGCGAGACTCTTTAGGTTGTCCCTCACCAAGTAACCTGTGGCTCACGACACTCTCCGCGGGCCGAATTTCTACGTAAGGAAGGAGGCAAGCTGATGCGGCTGGACCCAAGCACTGTTCGCACTGGCGCACAGGGTTGCCTTGGATAGCGCACTTCGCTTTGTTAAAATATTAATCCGCGAGAACTATTTATTATATAACTGATTTAGCCCGAAAAGAGCACGAGCTAAAACCCCGTTATAAAATGTAATCAGATTCGAAAAACAAGCACTTTTTAGATAATTTGTTTAACTAACTTTCTTTATAAAAAATTGCAAATGATAAATGAAAAATATGAGTATATTTTTTTAGCTTTGCTTAATAGTGGTATAGTTAGTTTAATATTATCTCTTTCGATTTTGTAATGGACCTTAATTTGTTAATAACAAATAACATTAAAAACAAAAAAAGACAATAACAAACTTCCCTTAATAAAATACTATTGTATATTAATATAATGATAAAAGTATAATATTGGAAATATTTTAATAAACTTCCTCAATATACTTTCATATCACCGGTCAAGGTGTAATCAGTTATCAAGAAATGTACTATATATTTCTGATTAAAGTAATGGTTACTCTGAAGTTGGACAGTATTATAAAGTTTGGTATAATAATACTTCTAAATGATCTATCTTGTCGGAATAGCAAAGCGAAAATACGCCTCCCCATAACATAATACATATATTAGAAATAAGGTCACAAAATTTTTAAAATGTTATGTTATATAATAAAATTAATATTTAAGATGTAAATTTTCCATACCTTTTACAGTTACTTTTTGTTCTCCAGTTCCAGGATTTGTAAAAATATCTACTTGAATACTGATCTCACCTACAGTATCATCTTCTATGCCAGCAATGTCTGTAATATGATATTAATATAATTAATATATTTGAAATTTTAGTTGATTTATATAATTTGTTTTTGTTTCAAGTAAAGATTCTATTCAGAAACTACGCATAATACTGAGACGTGAAGAAACGACACACAAGTAAACAAAAAGGATGGCACTGTTACATACTATCACGAGCAAGATTTAAGCTTGTATATATCTCTCTATCCAGTATTATTTGTATTAAAAAAATATATATCTTTATTTTTCTATTTAATCTAATAGATAAAATTTCTATTAGTTAGAGAGATATGTCACTGATAGCAGGGCAGAAACTAAGTAAGGGCAAAAAAGACAGATAGAGAAAGTGAAAGCCACATCTGTCTGTCTTGAAAAATATGATGATTGGTCGAGCATAACGTGATCTAAGAGGAAGGAAGTAGATAAGCAATGTATGTCTTGGGACACAAAGGAGCCGTTAAAGGAAGCCGCCAATGTATAAGGGATATATGAATGTCCTGGGATACAAAGAGGCCATCCAATGAAAGTGTCGCGATATCGCGATACCGCGATACCTGTCTGTGTTATCGTGAAAAGGCGAGACCTTATGCTGAACGTCTAAAACGCAATCGATATACCTTTCGAGACCTCATGCTGAGCGTCTAAAACGCAATCGATGTATCTTTCGTATTGAAGATGTGTTCCAGCAGTACCAATGCATAAGGGATATGTGTATGTCCTGGGACATAAAGAGGCCGCCCGATGAAGGTGGTGCGTTTTATGCTATGCTAGCTAGATATGAGCCCTTGGAGAGAGGTAGTGTCTTTAACTTGCTAGAAGCGTACATTGTATAGCATGGATATGCTGTAGTCAGAAAGAGGGTGATGAAACGACCCCCCAGAGTCGTTTCTTAATCTAGTCATGACTCCCCCCCCAATAGTAAATACCTAATATACTAATAAATGTTATTAAGTTGAATGCTAGCTAGGCGTGAACTCTCCGAGAAAGGATAGCGTCTCTAGCTTGATAAACTATGTGCTGGCTAGGCGCGTACATCAGGCTCTTTCAATCTCTCTCTCTAGCAATTGTGACGATTTATCTATGAATTTAAATTATATAAATCCTTTATTTCACTCTTTCATGTAACTATCCCCTCATCAGCCTACATAGTGGAAATCGCTGTTTTCAGTGACACCATAGTGCTTAACAGCCGTGCTCATCCGGCAAAGAGAACAGTCTTCCGAGACAGCTCGTTTCACTAGCTTTTTCAGCTAAACCAGCAGTAGCAGTAATAGTAGTAATAGTAGTATTCGTAGTGATAGTATAGTACTAGTAGTAGTAATAGCAGTAATAGTAGTAGTATTAGTAGTAGTAGCAGTAATACGAGGGTGGTCCGATAAGTACTTAGCCTCACCGCCCGATGGCGCCACTCTCGCAAAAGAAATATTCTATCACCTAGTACAACCTTTTCGATGGTTACTGTCAAGATTTCAGCTGGATCGGAGTTGTAGTTTATTTCTGAGAGCGTGTGAAAGCAAGTGTGTCCGTTGATTTTTGAAAAATGGAAAAAGAGCAGTATGGGTCGCTGATTCGATTCTTGTTTTTGGAAGGGAAATCGCGCAGCGAAATCAAAAAGCGCTTGGATGCTATGGACGGTGACTCTTTTCCTTCGATGGCGACCGTCAAAAATTGGTTTAACGAGTTTCAACGTGGTCGCACGTCGATTTTTGAAGAGCCACGTCCAGGTGCTCCGAAAACAGCTACCACGGAGGATAACGTGACAAAAATTCACGATCTCGTATTGGCAGATCGACGATTGAAGGTGCGCGAGATAGCTAAGATCGTAGGCATTTCAAAAGACCGCGTGGGTCATGTCCTGCATGAAATTTTGGGCATGAGAAAGCTGTCGGTACGATGGGTGCCGCGTTTGCTCACTCCAGACAACAAGCGCAACCGTGAGACAACTTCAGAGCAATGTCTGACGCTGTTTAAGCGCAATCCGAAGGAGTTTCTGCGTCGTTTCGTGACAGTCGACGAAACATGGATCCATTGGTATACACCAGAGACCCAGGAACAGTCGAAACAGTGAACTTTACCCGGCGAAAGTGCTCCGAAGAAGGCGAAGACTGCCCCATCGGCCGGAAAGGTGATAGCCATCGTTTTCTGGGATTCACAAGGTGTGATCTACATCGACTACCTGGAGAGGGGCAAAATGGTCACAGGGCTGTACTATGCCGAATTATTGGGCCGATTTGACGTCGAATTGCAGAAAAAACGGCCCCATTTGGCGAAGGAAAAAGTGCTCTTCCACCATGACAACGCATCGGCTCACACCTCCGCTGTCGCCATGGCCAAATTGGTCGAATTAGGCTACGAACTACTGCCCCATCCACCGTATTCTCCAGATTTAGCCCCGTGCGTCTTCTTTTTGTTTCCAAACTTGAAAAAGTCACTCGCTGGGCGGACATTTGAGTCGAATGAAGAGGTAATCGCTGCCACGGAAGCCTACTTTTCAGACCTCAAGGAAACGTATTTTTCAGACGGGTTAAAGAAGTTGGAGCATCACTGGGCCAAGTGTATCGAACTAAAAGGAGACTATGTTGAAAAATAAAACACCACTTTTCCAAAATTTTCGTTTTTCTTTTGTAGGCTAAGTACTTATCGGACCACCCTCGTAGTAGTAGTACTAGTAGTAGTAGTTGTAGTTATCCTACGCGCATTTCCAGCGTAATGGCCAATGGTTTCTATTTCTCATTTTGAAAATACAGTACGTGATTCATGGAAAGCTTATTACAACTCAGATGCAGACAAAGATGATTTTATTAGATATGTATATTTCTTTAAGGTATATACTGCTTTGAATTCTCTTGAAGAATATATGTTGTGGACTAACTTATGTAAAACAATACGACAGAGATATCAAACTTGCGCTTCTCATTTAAATTCAATTGAAATCAATTTAAATAATTTTTTAAAAGTCAGTGGAAATGTTAACCTATTACAAATCATTCCAAACTAAATTCAAGGGGATGGAGTTATTTGGAGTGTGATAAATTCTGTATGTGAAAAACGTATCATTACTGCATTCATAGCCAATCAAGAACATACAGATATAAAGTCATTCTTAAAAGTAGCAAATAAACTCTTACAATTACAAATACCAAAATATCTTACAATTCATAATGCTCTAAAAATAAATATAGAAATGTGAGCTCAATTTTCTGTAATAAAATATAATATAAAGGATTCATATAATATTCAAATAAAGTATTTCAATACTGAAAATGTTTTCATTTATAGAACGACAGATCTTCAATTATGGTTTACAAAAAAATATTGAAGATGTTATATTTAAAAATTTAGAAGAATTTCAAGATAAATATTCCAGTTGGACATTAAAAACTATCATTGGCATTACTGTTAATATAAATAAATTTAATCCTTTCAAACCTGGCTCTTATATTCAACTATCAAAATAAATAGTAGATAAAAAAATATGTGTCAATGTTTAAAATACACATAATGAATGTTTTCAATGGGCTGTGCTTGCCTGTCTTCATCCAACTAGATTTCATAGCGAAAGAGTTAATAAATATATCTTTTTTGCAAAAGAAATTAACATTCGATAGCATAAGCTTTTCTCTTGAGATAAAAAATATTCCTAAATTTGAAAAGTTGAATAGTATTTCAATAAACCTATACATACTAAAAAACATGAATTTAAATTCGAAATCTCATCCTATCATTGAAATATCGGAGCTAACAATGTATATCTAAGAATTGAAATTCGTAAATTTTAATCGAAATATTGAATACTGTTTTAGAGTTTGTCAACATGCAGTGATTAAGAACAAAAAAATTTTGCGAGATAAATATAGGAAAATGCTGATAAAAATGTTAAACAACTTTTGAAATCGTTAAAATTATATGATTTTTGTCAAAATTTTGTAAATAAAAGTCATGAATGATAAAAATACATGGAAAAGTTCACCAAAAAGTCCTCAAAGACTTACAAAATAAAATATGCGAAAAAATAATTGAAAAAGTCCTCGAAAAAGTACACGAAAAAGACCACAAAAAAGTTTTCAAGAAAGTAAATAAAAAAGTAGACAGCAAAGTCCTCAGAAATGTCTTCAGATAAATTCTCGAAAAAATTCTAAAAAATGTCTTTAGAAAAATTCTCAAATAAGCCCTTGAAAAAGTTTTCATAAACTTCCTCGAAAAAGTTCTCAGAAAAGTCCTCAGAAACGTCTTCGAAAAATTACTCAAAAAAGTACACGAAAAAGTTCTCGTAAAAGTACAAAAATAAATCCTCAAAGATATACACTAAAGTCTTCGGAAAAGTTATCAAGACAATAGACATAAAAGTCCTTAAAAAAGTTTTTAAGAAAGTACAGAAAAAAGTACTTTTCTGAGGACTATTCTTTTTTTAAGTACTTTTTCATGTACTTTTTTGAGAACATTTTCGTGGACTTATTTCAGAACTTTCTGAGGATTTTTCGTGTATTCTTGTGTATACTTTTTCGGAGACTTAATATAGGACATTTCTGAAGACTTTTTTGAGGACTTTTTCTTATACATTTTTGAATTACTATTTTGGATACTTCTTTGAGAAATTTTCAGATGCTTTTCCGAGGACATTGTTCAACTATGTTATTAAAGACTATTTGGAGTATTTTTTGCGTTCATCTCTAGATATTTTACCGTGTTTTTTTTTTGAGGACTTTATTGGGTACTGTATTAAAAAATTTTTGGGGACTTTTTCAGGACGCCTCAAGGACATGCTGTCCCTGCAAGTTTTCAAAATTACTCAGAAATTTCTTCAGATGTCCTTCAAAAATTTACAAATTCAAGTGGAATCTTTTAAGGACTTTTTGAGGAGTTTTCGAAGACTTTCTGAATACTTTTCCACGGGTTTTTGAGGATTTTATAAAAAATTTTTACATTACCTATGAATCTGCAGAGGGTGGCAATGGTGGATGAACGAACAGAGGACCGAGGAAAAAGTAAAACATACAAAGCGAAAAAA